GACGTCATCAGGTTTGCTATAGAAGGTCTGTGATTCGTTGTCTAAACTAGTCATAGGAGGTCTCGTTGAAATCTCGTTAAATCGGCGATAGTTAAAATATACCGTCTCACAAGTACGTAACAAAAAACATAAACAATAAAAAAAATAGTAAAAGTAAAATAAATATATAATATAAATGTTGAAACAGTTTTTGTCAGTTTGACCATGGAACTATAAACCCCTTTATAGTTCCATGGTTTGACTTACCGGGATTGAATATACGGCAAACATCCTGCAATTTTGTGATATGAAAACAAAACATGCTATTTAAACGCATGGACGCCGATTTGTTAATAAACAACTGACAAACGTAGTGTCAAAGTTTCACTTGAAATAAACAACAATTGTGAGAACTATTTAGATTTGAATTTTTCTGGTTAACTGAAAAAAAACAGAAGTGGAGATAATGGTAATTTGCATAACCATTCACTCATATAGAAGATTGCTAATGCTCATACTTAAAATGGCTGTAATAGTCCCAAATTTAAACCCATTGTCTTTTTGTAAAATGTTAAATATAGTTCATAATATGGAGATTCCGCCATTACTTTTTTTTCGTCATGTTTCTTTCTTATTATATATGTACAGGCTTGCTAAATTTTGCTAAGTATTCAACCGACAACTGATGCGAACATCAAACACTCATATAACTTATTGAAAGCACTCTCACCTTCAGTGTCCAAGTAAAACATTATTTTTCTCGGTTAATCTAAGCAATAACGCCGCATACCATAGATAAGTGGTCCCAAGAACTCATCTTTCACTCAACTCTCATTCTTCATGATTCCAGGTGTTTACACGACTCTCACTTTGTCAGTTGGCACTATATGGCTGGAATGATTCTATTAGTTTAACACATGGTATTATCATCTCATTGCCGGGTAGAATTTCAACCACTTTTATCAACATCACTCTGGTACAAAGAGTTCATGCTTTCCAATCGAAATATGGTACGATTTTATCAACATATTTTAGCTGTAAGTTTGTTATGTCAACCACACAGCCCATTGTGATTACCCGCTTCATACAAATGATTGCAACAGCCTCCATATTAACTAATATTCGACATTTGCTTACATACTTCTGTATTATGTGTAACTCTAAATTAGACCAAGTTATTTCATGGTTGTTCCATCTGCTTGCCGGATCTTCACTGTGCTCGTCTCTAATGCTTGTCTCTGCTCTTTTCTGGGTTCTTCACACTATCAGACACCTATGTTTTCCTTTCCCTTACACCATGTTTACTCCTGGTTGGGGGTAGTTTGGGCATGTCTCCATTCCCGACCTAGTTCTGGTCCCTGGGTTGGACGTGGTGTGTTTCCCAGATAACTGCCTGCTTGGTTATGGGAGTCCCCTCCCACATGCCCTCATCCCAAGCATCTGTAGCATCAATTTGTTGGAGTCTACCCACATGTTCTGTTTTCTAACTCACTGCCAAATATCTGGACTTTTTGTCACAAATAGATTGTTTACCAATGCCCATTGCCCACAGTATGCCTTTTAATAACTCCATAGTGTCTTACCACTATTTTTTCTGGAATATTCTGACAGGAAGTTTTCTCTGCTTTCATGGTTTTCTACAATTGGCAGGGGATTGTGTAGCTTTGGTTGATTACTGGTTCTGGGCCCTTTCTTGTCCCTCAAACAAGTCTGCAGTGAGGTTTGCAAACCGCCTGCCTGTTGATTGTGCTTGGTGATACCTAATCCATAATAAGTTATTCGCTCTGGTAACCGCTCTTCCTGTCATTCTCCAAGGTATATCTTTTTCTCTGCTGCTACCTCTTTAGTACGTTTCTCTGTTGTAGTCTTACCAATCATCAGTTTTATATGTTGGGTATGGCCCATGTTGGTGTTACTTGTGACGGCAAAATGCTAAAATGGCCCAAAATCTTGAGATTGGGGTCAACAAGTTCGGTATGACTGTGAAAATGAGAGCCAAAACAGTAATCATACCCTATATCAATCAAGAAGTTATGGACAACCTTCAGAACATCGACAGTAGTTTGGCAGTATGTGACTATCATGTGATAATAGTTAAATGAGGTACATGTGAAGATAGTACTGTACAGTCTATTACAATCTTTGCAGGTCTTTGCAGAGAACCATGGGATGAATTATGGAGCTGTGACCAAGACGACAATCAAGTAAATAAAGTCTGCTTATAAACAAAAAATAGTGGTTTGTTTCCCGCCATTATTACATAATGTGTGACCTTTCATATTAAGGTCCGATAAGAAAAGTTGCCAGGATGGATTCATCATCAAGTGAAGACAGTGAAGATGAAAACGTACACCCATTTGACATATTTGTTGAGGAATTAGGTGTCAAAATAACAGAATGTAAGTTAATTTGTATATTTTAAACACGCAATGCTTTATGCAATATTTGTCCTGCACCCGATGGAAAGTATTCATGTCATTAAACAATATAATATGTACATTAATTATAAAAATTCAATTATTTTCGAAGGAACCAAATGTTGAGGCCCCTGACAGTGACTATATCCTCTATATGAGCCTAAATATATCAGGATTCACACTAATCTAAAATCCGGCTTTAATGTTTTATATCTGAAAATATATTTACCGATATTGGTTTTTTTTGCATGTGTCTGAGCTCATAATACTATCATTGTGTTAACATTTTTGGCGTCTCATGGTTGCTGTGCTTTTATCTATGCAGTTCCTTCCAGTATTTTGTGTTGTTTGTTTTCACCTTGGTTCCTTGTTTATCATGGTTGCGCTGGCTCATGTTGCCAAGCTGTGATTAGGTGTATTGATAATTATCTCTCTTGAAAACACTCAATGAAATTACTCCTTTTAAATTATGTGTGCTATCAAATTAGTTCACGTGACGTATTTCGATATTATACAATCATTTATTTCCTATCTAAATACTCGCTTTATAAATGTATATTTACTCGTTGGGGTTTAGTATATTCGACTATCGCCAGTAAGCCAAACCTGATGTCCATCTAATGACGATCACGAATTTTGCTGCCATCTGCCCATACTGATTACATTGTTTTTGATCAAATTTATATAATTCATATAATAATATAATTTCTATTATTTTTAGCTCCACTGTCGACTTTGTCGAGCGGAGCTTATCATATGAGTGATTGTCCGTCGGTGTCCGTCGTCGTCGTCCGTGTCAACTTTTCACTTTTTCAACTTCTTCTTGAAAACTACAAGCCTGAATGCTTTGATACTTGGTGTATATGTATCTTGGGTAGACCTCTCTTAGATTGTTCATTTCGTGATGGTATCTTCAATTTTCTAATATTGGTGAATATGACACTTTATCCGAAACATCTGGTCATATTAATAATTAACAAAGACATTTTCTATATATTATATTTAACTGTTATAGAAGCTTTCACCAATTTTAAAAATTATTTACACTGTCATATATGTGTTATAATTTCTATTAAAAACATGTGTCTACAACGTGATTGATGTGTTATTATACTATATCTAACCTTAAAATAGTATTATTTTTTACTTCTGTAGCTGTTTTTTGCACTATGAAACGTCTTTGTCGTCGTAAAATATCGACGCAGAAAATGGAGTTGATGAAATACCCGGCTGATCTGATATGTGCACTTATAGACGCAGCAGTAATTTCGGAGAAAAACATGAAGTATCTGTCAGAAATACTGAAAGTTGCGGGAGAAAAAAAACTTGCTAATGAGGTTGAAGCATATCGACCCTGGCATAGCAGTAACAGAGGTAAGTGCACTGCTAAATACAAAATAAGTTATTATTGTTGTTGTTGTTGTTATTTTATGTTATTCAACAATTTTATTTGCCGCAACTTGATCTAAAATCGCCGTTGCTTTGAAGCCTGCGTATTGGATTAGCACTACAATCAAATTAACTTCCCATCAACACAATGTTGATAAAATTCCCCAGTCTATACGTTCTAGCCAATACAGCCAGTATACACCAATTGCGAGATACAAATGAAGTTCATCGAACGTGGGATAAAGACTATAAATCTCGCCTGCATATTCATGGATTGTATATGTATGGATGTAGTGTGATATCAAGCATTATGCAGATTTGATCACAGACACTAAATTTATATGAATAATATTTTTCATTGTCAGGAAATAAAAGAAAACGAACAAAGTCAGATGCTGATGTAAATTACAATGTAGGACGTTATGTAGGTTAGTATTACTGGTGTAGAAGTTTCATTGTTACTGGGCTGTACTATGATTTGTGTGTAACAAGACTTGAAATACACGTTAACTGATTTGTGTTTTAGATATTCCAATTCCAATTGGATTGGACGAAAAGTCAGTAGAAGACCAGATGTTATACCAAGCAGCGATGCGAGTATTTGATGCGATGATGAAAGCAATTAATAGCAGTGATGACCAATATGACGTGTTGAAAAGCGATGTAACAGTGCATTTGAGGAGCTACGTGTGACTCTTGGTAGATTGAAAATATCTTCTATAATACTCATTATGAGATGTTGGAGTCTGGAGGGAGTTCGGGCATTCGCAGATGGTCTGAAGAGTGGGAAGATTGAAAGACTATTGACTGATATTCTGATCACAAATGAGATGAAAACAATGTCAGAATTTCATGCTGTCACTTTACGAATATCAGCAACAGTAGATCCTATCCTTCTTGAGATGGCAGAAAGACATTTTGAAGGTAGACTGTAAATCATTATATGTAGATTTTTGAACTAATGCTTGTCCAGCCTGCCTTATCTAAAATGAGAGCATATGAGCGTGGAAGAAAAACATTATTTTTAGTCATTCATATAAAACATCGTCATGTTAAAGTTGTCCATCAGATAATTTTTGGCTTATTATATGCCATGTTTCTGGTTTATTCCCACATTTCTACATAAGTACATATTGAAAAAATGTGGTGATTAGAAGTGTATTATACATGCGAAGATTTGGTCAATTGTATTGTATTTGTATTCACGTTTAAAGTCGTTTTACTCAACTTTACCCAACAGATAAGAATGCCAAGCAACCCGTTGGATCCCGGAGATTGCATCACTGTATGAAATCGGTCAATTACCTAGATCTACGAACAATGACGTATCCATCAAAAGCGAATTTGCGAACATTGCGCAAGTCACTGCCTTTATTACAGCAGGTGTCAGCAACATTTCAGAGGGAAATATTATTACTACAGAAAAGTAAAGCTGAAGTACAGAAACAAGTAGAGACTCTGGCGGACCTTGTAAACCAAATCACCTCAAAGATGAGCAGGATAAAGATAAAGTACAACAAACTAAGGAAACAAAAGGTAAACAACAATTTGATTACGTCACATAGCCCAGTTAATATTACCATACATAGTGAAATATCACATGCGTGTTGTTGGAACATCCATAAAATGACGAATAATTCCATGTTTATTACCTCAGCAGATTAGGCAGGACGAATATATGAAATTGGGTATGTATTGTCAATTATATTATCTTTGCAATTGGTAGTTTTTTTTACTTCTTCCAATTTCCAAGCCTTCTGTTTGATTGTGCTCCCTCTCCCGTCTGCCTCGGCGTATTGCATTGTTTGCATTAAATAAGATCGTCATTGTTAAATAAATAAACCAATCGCTGTAACATACCGATAAAGATATGTGTTTTGTTTTTTCTATTTTTTTTTTAGTGTTATCAAAATGTTGCAGGAATAATTGTGTTACGTTGTGAGATTTTATTTTGTTTGATTTGTCGTGTATAGAAACAATTGGACTTGAGCCAGCATTGTTCAAGTGGCCATTTGGGATCGCATTTAATGACAAAGAAGAATTGGTTGTTGCAGACCGCGGCAATGAATGTGTAGCCCTGTATGTGAATGGGCAAAGGTTGAGAAAGTTAAAGTTCAATGGTTTCCCAGACACATTTGTGCCAATTGATGTTGCTGTGTCAATTGATGGAATATACTACATAACTGATTCCAGCAACAAACAGGTAGTAGTATGTAGAGATGATAATGAGCTGATAACTACATTCCCGATAAATGATGACATTGACCCTCATGGTATCACACTGACTAACGATGGTGAACATGTCCTGGTAACAGATTTTGAAGGTGATGCACACAGTGTGAAGAAGTATACCATAGATGGCGTATATATATCACAATACCAGCCAGAGGGAAAACTGAAGCTAAGTCGTCCAGAGTGCATAACTGTCAACAGCGACAGTCAGGTCATTGTTTCTGACACTAATAATTCTCGTATCCAAATATTGGATTCTGAATTGAGGTTTTTAACTTCGTTTGAATGTGTAAACAAAGATGGGAGAAAGTATTCGCCAACAGGAATCGATGTTGATAGTGAAGACAATATATATGTATGTGGTTACTTCAGTAAATTTATTATGATTTACAACCGCCAACTGACGCAAATAAGTTACATTGACGTTGAAAGTAAGCCACATCATATTAGTATACATGAAGGTAAGCAAATGAGAATAGGTCTTACCAGGGTTCTCCCCAGAAAAAATGCATAGCGCCGGGGCTAATTTGCATAATAATTTGCATATCATTTACATATCTTTCCTTCATTGATTAACAGAACTTATTTACAATTATGAATACATGTATTAGTGAGCTCAGTCACAGGGCAAATATTTTTTTTAATGGAATCAACACATTATGTTTCACAATTTAGAAGAGTTTGAAACATTCTCGAAATACAAATGCTGCAGACTAAAAACAAACACAAATAAATTATTGTTGCAATTTAATTGTTTTGTAAAACGTTGAAGGAAACGCATTCAAAACGTTAAGCCAGATTTA